GTCTAATCCAGGGGTGGGCATATACGGCTATATAAGAAAACCGAAATGCGGCTCATCATGCGTTTTCATCCTTGCTCTAATAAAATGATTAATTCTTAATATCTCTTTATTAGTATAAATTACAATAGCCAAGTATTATATTTAATTGTCAATTTACTTGACATTTCATTGTTATGTCAGTTTATTTGACATTTATATTGTAATTGTCAATTTTGACGTTTAGTAGTTCAAATGTCTATTACAGTAGAGCAAATGAAGCTGGTGTTTTTGACAGTTCTTAGACATTATAAATGTTATCAAATGTCATATTCTAATAAGATGTTGGTTTGGAACTAATTTTACAACTATAATTATTGAAATACACTGTTTTTATAAGAAAAATAATTATAACTCTTTTTGTAATTTGTGTTAGATAATCAAGTATTAATTGACATTGAAACATAAAAGGTTATACCAACTTTAGAATGACAAAAAAAGGGAGTAGTAGTTCAATTATACATAGAACTAAATTAGTTAATAGTTCATAATGTATTTGATTAATCGTATAGTTTAAATAAGTAATAAAGATAATTGTTTCACTATAAATTCATACAGTTACATAAATTGAAAATAGAAGAAGAAATGTAATGATCTTAAGAAGTTTTGTAAAATGAGTACTAATTATGAATGTTCACAACAAATTGTGACTAATTTAATTAGAGTAAAGAATTAAGTGAAAAGTAAATGTGATTATTTAAAATTGAAAAAAAAGATTAGTAGTTCAAATTAACAGTTAAAAATTATGTAGTTATGAACTACTTTAACTGAAGAGATATGAAAAGACATTTACAGTAATTTCATTAAAATTGAAGATTTGATAGTTAAACTTGTAGAACGTTGTAAAGTTACTTATTAACTTGTTTTTTAAGAAGGATTTGAAGATGTATTAATGATGAATAAAAAAAAGCGAGTTCTTATTGTAATCTGAGATTAAGTAATAGTTTAATCTGGTTGCTACCGTTTGAAGGTTAGAAAGTTGAGAATGAGCATGTATTAATGATGATTGGAAGAGGAGAAGTTGTTATTGTAATCCGAGTTGGAAATGAAGAAGTATTAATGATGAAGTATGGTGGCTCCTTCGACTCGGGAATTAATTATTTATGGTGTTGTATTTATGGATGCAGATGAAACGAGTAAACTGAATGAACGAGAGTGAGAGAGAGAGAGTGAGTGAGGGTGCGGCGCTTGCGAGAGGAATAGTAAACAGGAGAGGAAAACGGTGGGCGAACATTGATATAAATAATCCCATTGGTATGGCCGGAGCTAACCTAATTTATTTTACATCTCACGACTCAATCATAGATTACATTCGGTATCGTTCTGGATGAGAATAAAGAAAATGAAATGTGGGTGACTGCCGGCAGCGAATGGATCGTGGAGAGGAGGTGGAGGAAGGTGGAAAGGACGTGGGGTGGTTGGAGCAGGATGAATAGAGAGAGGAAAGAATGCCGAGGAGCGGAGGTTAAAAATTGCCTTTCGGCGTTCAGCCAGCCGTTGCTCTTTCTCCCCACATGTTAGTTTTTTGGACGTCGGCCGTGTTCGTGCCAGAAACGGCCATTCATCTTCGTCAGCCTCCCTTTTCGTCCGCCGCCCTCCTCCACCCCCTTCACCCAAAAAGCACACAGTTTGCGAGAGAGAGAGATGGAAAACCCACCCTTCTTTAGGCAAGCTGCAGCGGCGGAGGAGGAAACAGAGAGGAAAGCATAGAAAATAGAAGAGAAAGACGGACAGAGGAGAATGGAAACAACACAGTACACATTTCGGAATAACGAGCCCGATTGGTCCCTAGATGGGAAAGATGTGAACGGTGGCCTCCCCAGATGATTAATTGAGTGCGGGGGGTGCCTCAGCCTAATTGGCGACGCCTCGGACCACGGCTAATTGGATCAAAAATAATCAAAAGAACACAAAAAAAAAATACGTTTTTTTGTTTTGTTTTTAAAATTACAATGGAGGCCAAAAACCGAAACGAAGTACAAAAAAAAAGAACGTGCTGCAACAGGGAAAGAAATTAAATAATTCTTTTCATGCGTAACGTTATTAAATTATATAACTCGAAGCAATTAATTTGCGAAAGCCGTCTGACCTCATTTCCCTTCATGGAAATTAAATATGAAAAACCTAAATTTCCAACAAAAATTCTCTATACCTTTTTTTCCATCAACTTTCAAGTATTGTGTGTTGCCTAATATCACAGTTCTCATTATATAAAGTTACGTTTCATACTGAATTAATCATTAGTAATCATAATTAATGATCAATATTTGCCTACAATTAATTAACAACTTATTACTCGTACAATTATTGCAATTCTATTAAAAGTCTTAATTAATTAAAAAAAATGCAATTTTTGTTACTTATAAATGTTCTAATAAACTATAAATAAATCTGTTAATATTTCGTGTTTCAAATAATAATTCATCATTAATTGCATTTTATTACTTAATTAGATCTAATTTAATTATTATGAAATAATAATTTTTAGTACTCGTAAATCGACTTTATTTCCAATGTTATTTAAGCTATTTATAATTTATGCAATAACTCAAAACACGTGGGAATGCCGCAGCGGAAATCTGATCTTGAAGCCGAGGAAATTGCTCATTAATGCTAAATAATTATAATAACTCCATTTTATCTCTATTCCAATCGGTCTCGATACTTAATCTTTTTATTAACATAATTAATAATAATTACAGTAACAAAAACAACAATAAAAAAGAAGGAAGGAATTATAATATTAATAATACATTAAAAGAGAAAAAAAAGCAGATGATGAATGTTTCAATGTAGTGGCGATAGATGGCGACGTTATGCACTTTTAGAAGGTTATATAATGCGTATTTTTTTGATCATTTAATTATTTGTGGCTTAATAATTTAATTGCAATAATAAAATAAGCAAATATTGCTTTAGTGTGCATAATATGCAGTGATTCTTATACATTTTTTTAATTGATTTATTTCAAACGAAACAAATGAAAAAAGAAAGAATGTTATCGTTAGATCTTTATTATATTTAAAATTAGCAAATAAATTTAATAATTTGTTAGACAATGATATGATTATGTAATGATATTAAAGATTATGTAATGAAATATTGAACTCGGATATAACGTTACTTTTAGGTTATGACCTCGTGACGATGTGGTGAAATATGAGCATCATTTTAACGTTATTTTACATTATTAAACGAACATTTATCATAATTTATGAATTGTTTTTGTTAGTATAAAATAATCAAATTCTTTAATATTCGTAGTTTCCTCAAAATTTTCATAAATATATTGAAGATTGACCTTTATGAATGGTGAAGTTTTTACATTATTGAAAATTTTTGTTTTGTTGCATACAATATATTTCAACTGAATTTGTATAAGTTTCAATCGTTTTTATTTCAATTAATCAATATATTTTTTTTTGTAGTAAAGTATGAAATATAAATGACTTTTAATAATTCTAAAATAATTTTGGTAATTTCATTAGTATTGATGTTATTACTGATTTCTAGCTATAATAAAGATTTAAATTTATGTAATAATGATAGTAAAATGATCAAATTGGATTAGTTATATAATAAATTTAGTGAAATTTTATAATTGGCATTGTTTTCATATTTATTGATTAAAATTTGTAATGAATGAAATATGTATTATATTTTAACTTTACTATTAATTCATAACAACAAAAACCGGATTTAACTAAATGAAATAATCGTAAAATTTATATGAATTATTATGAATGATGTTTTTTTCTCCAATTTTTCACTATATTTGGCTATAATTCTTTAATTACTATTTGGATTGATCAAAATTTGTAATGAATGCAACATGTATAAAGTTTTAACGTTATTGTTCATTTACACAGACAAATATCAAATGTAACTAAATGCAATAATCGTGAAATAGATTTGAAAGAAATTGAAATTTTCATGACTTAATCATTATGTTATATTGTTCCCAATTATTTATTATTTAATTCTTTACGTTTAATACTTCAATTAAGCAAATTTTGTAATGAGTGAAATTTGTACGTATTGTAAAATTTCTTTGAATAAAATTTGAATAATTATGAAGATTGGTATCATCTTAAGATTTTCCATCGATTTGTTGTATTATTTACATTGTTTAGTACTCGTAATAAATGAAATAAGTATAAAATTTCAACGTTTTTATTGAGAAAAAACAAATTTAATTGAATGGAATGATGACACATTGATGTTATGATTAATTAATACTTAATGGTTTCTTTAAAGAGGATTTGACTGTATATTAAAGTAATTGTTAAATTGATTTGGATTATTAAGTAATGTGGATTATTTGGTACTTTTTAATTGTTGTACTATCACCTATAATTTTCTATGTATTATTAAAATTGTTTAATACTCGTTATTAATGAAATAAGTATAAAATTTCAAAGTTTTTGTTGAGAAAATAATTATTCTTATTGATGACACTTTGATGTTATGATTAATTTAACCAAATACTTAATGGTTTGTTGTAAACGAATTTGACTGTATATTAAAGTAATCGTTGAATGTATTTAAATGATTATGTAATGTGATTGAAAGTGGATTTGGTAATTCCTTAGTTTTTGTTCTTGGGTTGCCCTCTCTGGTCATCATCTTCAGGTTCAGAAGATGGTGGTTTTAGAGAGAGCGGCAAATGTAAGCAACAAAAGACGGAACATATGAGAGAAAAAAAAAAGTAAGAAAAGGAAAGAAACGTGCGAGACAGAGTATATAAATAATTATAGAGATTACCGAGGGAGGCTGTGTATTCCGGAGTGGCCTTGTGACGCCAATCATGGCCTAGGCTCTAGGCGGTCCTCGGGCCCGACGTACATATAATGAGTTTATAAACGGCGCATAAATCATCCATTCCTGAAAACGCAATTAATAGTTTTATCTCTATATCCCCCCGCTCTTAACCATTTCTAATAATCGGACCTTTATTTTTGCAGAGAGGAAACGTGGCAGACAGACGTACACCAGGTACCAAACCCTGGAGCTGGAGAAGGAGTTCCACTTCAATCGGTACTTGACGCGGCGGAGGCGCATCGAGATCGCCCACGCTCTTTGCCTCACCGAAAGGCAGATCAAGATCTGGTTCCAAAACCGTCGCATGAAGTGGAAGAAGGAGAACAAGACCAAAGGAGAGGGCGGCTCGGAGGGCGGCGGCGATGACATCAGCCCCCAAGGATCACCCCAGTGAAACTAAATTAAATAAACTAACTAATAATAAATATATACTTATATATATATACGTACATACATATAAATATACACATATATATAGATAAATATATATATATATGTATATATATATAGATATATACATATAAACTAAACTACTTGGAAGGAAAAGCAAAGAGAAAAAAAATACAGATTAATTATGATATATAAGCTGCACGATTATTTTTCTTTATTTTTTTTTCAAATCGATTAACTACAAGAAGAAATAATAATTAAAACAAATATGTACACTCTCACACACATACGGAGATTAAGCAAAGGAAAAAAAAACAAGAAAATACGTAATAATAATTAAGAACATGATGACGATGAAGACGAAGAAGAAGAAGAAAAACCATTGTACCTAATAACACTTTATAGTCATTTTCTCTCTTTCTCTCTCTCTCTCTCTACCTATCTATATCTATCTCTTAAAACTCTCTAAAAGGAAAAACAAAGAAAAAAAAATAGAGCGCATTTAAATCCGCAAACGAAATCAAAAAAGTTTATTTGCATCATTTACGTGAATTATTGATTAGAAAATGATTGATTGAGCAAAGAAAAAAAATACATAATTTATATTATATATATATAAATATATTACGCAACGGTCATTCAAAGGATGTGTTCCTCCCGTTTTAATTTCTAATTAAACTGAAACCACAATGACCTCTCTTAATTAATTAATTAAATAAACAAAACGAAAAAAAAAAACACGAAAAAATTGTATAAAAAAAAAGGAAGAAAAAAATACGACGATTACTGTATTATATATAATAATGATTTCGAAAATGGAATTAAGAAAAGACAATTATTATTATTGTTATGATGATTTTAATCGCGATCGGCAATTTTTTTTTTCTTTTAAATTAAATTAATTTGATTTTTTTTTAGTTCTTTTGTAAGGATCGAATTATATAAATATATTATATATATATATAGATTTTTTTTTATTTATTGATTTATATTTGTAGATAATTGTTAGTGGCGAGTTTTATTTTTTTTTAACGTAACTTAAAAGAAAAAACAAAAATTTGTATTATATATATATAATAGAAAAGAGGTGATGAAGTACTAAGAATAATAAAAGAAAATGTTTAAAAAAATAAATTGATGCGAGGATTAATTAAAAGTAGGTGTAACAATGGACGAGGTGGGATGGTGATGATATATAATTTTTCGTTTTTCAAATTATTTGAATTTCCCGCGATTTTTGTGTTGTTTTTTTTACTTCTATGAACTATATATACGTAAACGTAAAAGAGGCCAGTGCAATTTTTATTTTATTTTATCTTCTTTCTCCAACTTTTTTTCAATTGAAGTTCACGAACCGTCTGCAAAGTGTAGTAAATTTATTGTTTGTTTTTTTTTTGATATAATTCGAAGAAGTGAATGTAAAAATTGAGAAAATTAAATTAATTTTGCGGATTGTGAATTGAGGACGCATCCACAACACGATTCATCCGAGAGAGACAGGTCAGTGAATTAAATTCCCACACGAAAAAAAAATCTATTTTTTTGTTTGTTTGTGAATAAGCATGAAACAGTTCTGCGCCGCCCTTCTCACCAAATATATTTAAATAATTATTTTTTTTTTCGAATCTCCCGCCCGGGGCGCGAATCCCGACTGCGCACGCCCGAAGCCCCAGATTCCTCCCGCGGCGCAGCGCTTCTGCGCACCTTACTTGTACATTGACGCCATTTTGTTTTTTCTTATTGGTTTTTAAAAACGAAGCCGCAGTTGGAGCGCTTCGCGCCCCCGGCGCCCTAATATATATTGTAGATAAATATAACTTATAATGATATTGTATATTTGTTCTTTTTTTTTATATACATATATATATATACTTGTAATACGGACGAGATTTTTGTGTGTAAATATTTGGGTAATTATTTTATTTTTTATTATATTACAATTTTTGTTTTGAAAACGAATCCGATTGATTATGATGAAAGGATATGAACATATACGATAATATGCACTTTTATGCCAAAGTTAGAGTAATTTTATCCATGTAGGAAACGATACTCGTAATTAATTGTAAAAGTACTAAGAGAGTATATATATATACACAACAGACAATTGGATTATATTGGTTTTCTTGATTTTTTTTTCGAAAAAAATAAATTAAAAAATTGACAAAAAAAAAACTTATAATAATTGAAGGAGAATATTTTGTATACCAAAATATTTTTATTTTGTGAGGCGAATAGTGATATTAATATGAAACGAAATACGTAATTTTTTCGATGTGAAACAGACGTTGCTGCAAAAAGTAAGAGTAAAAGTAAAGCAAACAAACAAAAGTGGTGGAAAACTAATAAATGATTAAGTATACGTTATGATGTAATAATGTTTTTTTCTTCGAAGCCCCGAGGAAAGATTATATTGAATATGAAATGATCTATATATTATATATATTGTTCGAGAATTGCGTCGGGCCCCACGGGTTAATAATTATTTTTTTTGTTAGAAACCCTCGCGAAAGAAAAAAAATATTTATTTTGATTTTTTTATATACACAAGTGTCGAGGGGGACGATGACGAAAAAAAATATGAAAATAACCCGCGCGTCCCGACGCCCACGAAAATAAAGAAAAAAAAATCTTATATAAATTTATATACTTATATATATGAAAAACAAAAAAAAAAGTTGAAAAAACGCAAAAAAAAATTAGGGTTTCTTTTTATTTGTTATTGTTTGTTTTACTTTTTTTTTGGAATTTTTTTTTGGCATGCTGTATATTTGTACCTATATGGATATAAGAATAAACGAGAGGAAAAAAAATGATGAAGATGAAAATAGCGTATAGTTATTTGTGCTGTGGTGTAATATTTTAGTATAGAAACCAGAAGATGATGAGATGAAGTCTTCTTCGTGCGAGAGAGGATGAAGAAGCGAACTTTGTCCCATTTCATATAAATATATATATATATATATTAAAACAAAAAAAAATATATTATACACGTATATTTTGAACTTTCGGTCGATCTATTTATTTTTTATGTTTGTTTTTATTATTTTGTAATTTTTATTATTTTTTTGGGGGGAATTTTTAAATTTATATATTTGTAATATAAATAAAACGAAAAAAATATATTATTATATATATATATTGATATCATTCTTTATTATATAAAAAAAAACATTTGTTTACTTACTTTTTTTATTTTTTTTTTAAATTTATTTACAAGGAAAATTTTGTTCGAAAAATAAATTATTATAAAATTTTCACTTGAACTTTTCGGAACAAAAATTGCAAATAATAAATGAGCGATTTTTTTTTCTTTTCTGTCTTGTGGATTTGATCTTATATATATAAATATATATATGAATATATATTATATAATACATATAAATTATATGTATAAAATAAAGATAATTGTAAATTAAAGAGATAAAAAATTTGAAAATAAAACTACACGATCTTGTTATTTCGAAGAACCCCCAACCAATTTGGAGCAGAAACGATACGTTTATGTTACCTAATCTCTAAATATATAGTTTTTTTGGTGTATTTAGTTTAGTTTAGGTTTTGTTTAGTTTGTTTTGGATTTGCGGCTGAAGAAGCCAAGAATACAAGAGAAAAAACTAAACGAATAAAAAAAATAAGTTGTGTTTGTGTGTTGTGGAGTGGTATGTTAAAAGATGGCCCCCGTTTCGTGGGGATTATTATTGGTGAACATGGTATGAACGACTCCGCCTTAGCCTCCACTTTTGACGGGATGATTTATCGATTCGCCCCCTCGGCTCTCCGGCCCTGGGGTTAATGTCGCCTCCGCCGTCCGCCCCAAAGGCAAGATTGTTATGCATTCTATTTAATGCAACACTCATACTTACACTTGCACCGCTTGTACTAGTAATAACACGGACACACGTATACACGTACACAATGACTTCACCCTCCTGCGACAAATTATTCCGAACATACGATATCATAATCATAGAAAATTAATATTTCACCCCTCCGCCTAATCCACGTTTTCATTTACCATTCATAATCATTTTAATCTTACAGTTACACACGCATTACCTAATCCACTGGATTATCAAAGGGATTAAGTTTAAATTAATGCAAGTTTTAATTTGTAAAGCACGCATTGTATTGTAGTTGAGCAACGTTTTAAAGACATTGAACTTAGTTATAATGCAGTGAAACATGTTACATAATGCATCAATATCTTTGATACCGGACTAATCGAGGAATGCACAAAAAATATTTGACTATATTAAGTGAAAAAATAATCTTACATCTAATTCAATGGGATTAAGTTTAAATGAATACAATTTTTCATTTATAAAGTACGCATTGTATTATGTTTTATCAATGTTTTAAATACATTGAAATCATAATACAACGTAACATGTAACTTAATAGTACCTCTTATAGTACGGTTATATCTCGTTTTAAACCGAACAAATCGAGGACTATACAAAAAGTGTATAAAGTACGTAGTTGAGCAATGTTTTAAACACATTGAAATTATAGTACAGTAAAACATGTAACTTAATACAGTAATACCTCGTAAAGTACGGTTATATCTGGTTTGAAACAGGCCAAATCGAGGACTATACAAAAATATACTAGACTGTATGAAGTGAAAAGAAACACGATCTACGTTTTTCATTTATTATTTCCAATTATATTAATCTTACTGTTAGTTATACACGCATTAGCTAATAATTAATAAAGCACGGTTAAGCAACTTAATACAGCAATACCTCAGATAGTATTACCGCACTATGTGAGATATTCCGTCTGAAACCGGATCTAATGCAATGGATTATCAAAGGGACTAAGTTTATTAATGTTTTAAATACATTGAAATTATAATATATTGAAATATGTAATTTAATGGAGCAAAACCTCGTATAGTGCGGCTATATTCCGTTTTAAACCGGACTAATCGAGGATTGCACAAATAGAGACAAATTATCAAAGGGATTAAGTTTATATAAATGCAAGAGTTAATTTCAAAATCTCGCTTTGTATTATGGTTTATCAATGTATAATAGAGTAATA